AGGTTGGTAAAATGAGGACCCAGATTGTTGGGGGCAAATATGCTAGCTCTGTAAACCGCCTAGAGAGGGTTGTAAAGTACTGTAAAGCGGTATATAAGTCTAAGAGCCATTGCTATTGCAGCATCCCCAAGGTCATGTGATCGTAATTCACACACTTGGCAACCTGCATGGATTTAAAACAATTGCCCCGTTGCCCATTTGTGACCTTCCCAGCTGGCTTCTGACAAACAAAATCAATAGGGGAAGCCAGATTCACTTAAGGATCCCATGATTCACTTAGCAACTGGCAAAAAAAAAGGTCAGAAAAGTGGGCATGACTTGCTTACCAACCACTTTTGCTATCTCAACTGTGGTTGTAAGTCGAGGACTAAGCTGTATTCTTAAGTTAGCCCACTGAAATCCTGAAAAGTACTGAATGAAATTTACAAGCATTTTCCAGTCACAAGATATTCCAGAAACATCTAAAGATGCCAACACTTAAGATGGGGCAGTAAGGCTTCACCCTTTGCCAGCAGCTCCAACCATCAATTCTGGTTGCTGTAATATACTTATTATCCATTGCTAGTTTTACCATGGTTTTTCTCAATAAACACGGTTTTGAAGCTCAAGTAAAAACTTGGACCATTTAGTATAGAACACATTATTTAAACAAATGACTTTGGCTGAACTTGTGACAGCTAAGCAGGGTGATAAGCTAGTTTGCACTTGAATTCCCATCTGTCAGAAATGGTGTACGGTCTCCTGCTTGGGCAGGGGGTTGGACTAGATGACCTACAAGATCCCTTCCAACTCTGATGATCTGTTATCTGAATAGGAGACTACCAGGAGATTTGACAGCAGGAAAAATATATATCCCAAAAGCCAGCTCTGCTAAATGGATTCAATTCTGTTGACAAGGAAACAACCTGGATACAGGTAGTCCTCGACTTACAACAGTTCATTTAGTGACCATTCAAAGCTACAACGGCTCTGAAAAAAAGGAACTTATGAACATTTTTCACACAACCATTGCACCATCCCTGTGGTCTCATGATCAAAATTCAGAGGCTTAGCAAGTGGTTCATATTTATAACAGCTGCAGGGTCCCGGGGTCATGCGATCCGCTTTTGCTACCTTCTGACAAGCAAAGTCAACAGGGAATCCAGATTCACTTAACAAAAGCGTTACTAACTTAACAAAAATGCAGTGATTCACAACAACTGTGGCAAGTTAAAGTCGTAAAACTTTAACTCAGGTAACAAATTTTCCCTTAGCAACCTAAATTTGGAGCTCAATTGTGGTTGTGAGACGAGAACTATCTGTAGTGACATTCAAGTCTGCTTCAAGGGAGAGTTGTTTGTAGTTCAGTATGTTGTGTGAACACAATTCTCCAGGCCCAATACAGCCACTCCCAAAGAACCACCAAGCTTTTAAAGAACCATTTATTTGGAACTTTATTTAGGGTCTCCTGCTTGAGCAGGGGGCTGTTGGACTAGAAGACCTCCAAGGTCCCTTCCAACTCTTCTCATTCTGCACTATGGTGGAAACAAATCTGTGCCATATGGCAGGGACAAATGGCTGACATTCACCCATCACCACTAGCCCTCCAGTTGCTCCAGGTTGTCAGCGGGGGTCTTGTGAAAGCGTAGACACGCGTCGGGCCCAGTCCATACGTGCAGGTTGATCTACAAAGCGCGACCTCAAAAATATACCTCCAACCCCAGGAAGGGGGAAAGGGGGGAAGGAGACAGCAGGGGGACTACCAGTCAAGACAGTGGGGCTCTGCAAGGGACCGGCTCGGCACAACCTCGGAGCTCCAGGGCCCGAGGGCAAAAAGCGGGGCTCTCTTCCCACAGCAATCCCGCGGCAATCCCGAGCGGAGTCCGGGAGGCTCCGCGCGCCTCTTTCTCGGACCGCGCCGTTGCGCACTCACCGGCCCTGCAGCGCCCGCCAGAGCCGGCGTCGCCCCTCGCTGCCCAGCGCCAAAGCCGAGGCCGCCATCCCTGCGCCGGAGCTGCACGGAGAGGCGGGGGACTTGGGCCGGGCTAGCGGCGGCGTTTGGGCCTATCAGCGAGGCCGGAAAGGAGGCCGGGCTCGGGCGGGGAAAGCGGCGGAGCTGCCCGGGCGGAGGACAACTTCGGCAACCTTCGCCAAGGAGAAGGGCAGGGCGCGCTTCCGGGCCTTTTCCAGGTGCCTCTGCCGTCCGAGAGCCTTGCCCTGGCCTGGTCTGCCCAGCCTGGTGTTTTTGCCCTCGTGTCTTCGTTCCCAGTAAAGCTTTATCTCGCTAGCCAAGTTTCTTGGTTTATGCAGGGCTTTGGCAAAGTCCGGGAAGGAGTTGGGGGCGCTTCTAAAGCACACCCACAAAGAGGAGGGAGTCCAGCTCCAAAGCACCTGAGGGCAGGGCAAGAAGCAATGGATGGAAACTAATCCAGGAAAGAAGCAACCGAGAACTAAGGAGAAATTTCCTAACAGTGAGAGCAATTAATCAGTGGAACAACTTGCCTCCAGATGTCATGAATTCTCCAACACTAGAAGTTTTTAAGAAGAGGCTGGACAACCATTTGTCTGAAATGATACAGGGTTTCCTGCCTAAGCGGGGTTGGACTAGAAGACCTCCAAGGTCTGGTTTGGCCTATTCTGGTCTATTCTAATTTTAATTCTATTCCTAATCCCATATTCCTTAACCCCTATTCTGTTCTGTTCTACTCTACTCTACTCTACTCTATTCCTTATCTCCTATCCTATTCCTTATACCCCATCCCCATCCTATTCTATTCTATTCTATTCTATTCTATTCTATTCTATTC